CAGCAGGGCTACAAGTGTGGTACCGCGGCAGGGCTGCAGGACAGCAGGGCTACAGGCCCTCAGGGCGGCAGGGCTGCAGGTCAGCAGGGCGGCAGGGCTCCATGCCTCCATGTTTGGCGGGGCTACAGGATTTTAGGCCTCCAAGGGGGGCAGAGCAATAGGGCAACAGAGTGGCAGGGCTGCAGTCCTCGTAGGGCAGCAGGGCTTTAGAGCAACAGGGCGTCGGGACTGCAGGCCTCCCAGGATGACAGGGCTGCAGGGCACCAGGGCGGGAGGACTGCAGGCCTCCCAGGTTGGTAGGCCTGCAGGCCTCCCAGGGCAGCAGGGCTGCATGGCACCAGGCAGGGTAGCAGGGCAGCAGGGTCGCAGGGCTGCATGACTCTCAGGGTAGCAGGGCTGCAGGCATCGAAGGGTGGCAGGGCAGGAGGGCAGCAGGTGCTGGCCTCACAGGGCAACCGGGGTGCAGGGCAGCAGCCTGGCAGGGCTGCATGCCTCCGAGGGCGGCACGGCTGCACCTCTCTCAGGGGGGCAGGGTAGCAGTGTGGCAGGTCTGCCAGCCTCACAGGTCGGCCGGGGTGCAGGGCAGCAGGGCGCCAGGGCTGTAGGCCTCCCATGGACGCCAGGCGTCAGGGCAACAGGGCGGCAATGCTGCAAGCCTCCCAAGGTGGCAGGTCTGCAGGGCAACTGGGCAGCAGGGATGCAAGCCTCGCAGGGCATTAGGACTGCAGGGTAGCAGGTCGGGAGGGCTGCAGGGCGGCAGGACCGCAAGGGAGCAGGTCGGCAGGGCTGCAGAGCAGCAGGGCATCAGGCCGGCACGGAGGCCGTGCAGCAGGGTGGCAGGGCTTCAAGCCTCCCAGGGCATCACGACTGCGGGGCAGCAGGTCAGCAGGGATGCAGGGCAGCAGTGGGGCAGTCCTTCAGGCCTCCCAGGGCTCCAGGGCTTCAGAGCAGCAGTGCTACAGGCCTCCCAGGGCTTCAGGGCTCAGGGTGCAGGGCGGCAGGGATGCGGACCTCACAGGGCCGCCTGGCTTCAGGGCAAAGGGCGGCAAAACTGCAAGCCTCCCAGGGCGGCAGGGCTGCAGGCCTCTCAGGGCAACAAGGCTCCAGGCTTCGCAGGGCGGCAGGGCTTCAGGGCAGCAGGGCAGGAGGGCTCCAGGCCTCCTAGTGTGGCAGGGCTGCGCACCTTCCTGGGAGCGGCAGGGCTGCAGGACTCCCAGGGCAGCAGGGCTGCAGGTATCGAAGGACGGCAGGACAGCAGGGCGGCAGGTCTGCCAGCCTCACAGGGCATCCGGGGTTCAGGGCAGCAGGGCGCCAGGGCTGTAGGCCTCGCAGGGACGCCAGGCTTCAGGGCAACAGGGCGGCAATGCTGCAAGCCTCCCAGGGTGGCAGGGCTGCAGGCCTCTCAGGGAAGCCGGGGTGCAGGGCAGCAGGGCGGCAGGGATGCAGGCCTCCTAAGGCGGCAGGACTGTAGGGCAACTGGGCAGTAGGGCTGCAAGCCTCACAGGGTTTCAGGACTGCAGGGCAGCAGGTCAGGAGGGCTGCAGGGCAGCAGGACTGCAGGGCAGCAGGTCAGCAGAGCTGCAGGGCAGCACGGGGTCAGGGCGGCACGGAGGCCGGGCGAAAGGGTGGCAGGGCTTCGAGCCCCCCAGGGCACCACGACTGCGGGGCAGCAGGGCGGCAGGGATGCAGGGCAGCTGATCAGCAGTGCTACAGGCCTGGCAGGGCTGCAGGGCTCAGGGTGCAGGGCGGCAGAGCTGCAAGCCTCCCAGTGTGGCAGGGCTGCAGGCCGTTAGTCCTCCAAGTGTGGCAGAGTGGCAGGGCAGCAGGGCGGCAGGGCTGCAGGCCTCCCAGGGTAGCCGGGTGGCAGCACAACAGAGTGGCAGGGATGCAGTCCTCGTAGGGCAGCAGGGCTGTAGAGCAACAGGGCGTCAGGGTGGCACAGACGCCGGGCAGTAGGACTCCAGGCCTCCTAGTGTGGCAGGGCTGCGCGCCTCCCTGGGGGCGGCAGGGCTACAGGACTCCCAGGGCGGCAGTGCGGCAGGGCTCCCAGGGCGCTAGGGTGGCAGGGCTTCAGGCCTCCCAGGGCATCACGACTGCGGGGCAGCAGGTCAGCAGTGATGAAGCGCAGCAGGGTGGCAGGGCTGCAGGCCTCTCAGGGCGTCAGGGCTGCAGGGCAGCAGGGAGCCAGGGTTGCAGGGCAGCAGAGCAGGGCAGCAGGACTACAGGGCAGCAGGGCGGCAGGGCGGCAGGGCTGCAGGCCTCGCCAGGAGTCAGGGCTTCAGGAAAGGCAAGGCGGCTGGGCTGCAAGCTTCCCAGGACAATAAGGCTGCAGGCTTCATAGGGCAGCAGGGCAGGAGGACTCCAGGCCTCCTAGTGTGGCAGGGCTGCGCGCCTCCCTGGGGGCGGCAGGGCTACAGGACTCCCAGGGCGGCAGTGCTGCAGGGCTCCCAGGGCACTAGGCCTGCAGGCCTCACAGGGTGGCAGGGCTGCCAGGCATCAGGCAGGTTAGCAGGGCAGCAGGGTGCAGAGCTGCAATCCTCCCAGGGCAGCAGGACTGCAGGCATCGAAGGGCGGCAGGGCTACAGCCCTTCCAGGGCAGCAGGGCTACAGTGCAGCAGGTCAACAGGGCGGCAGGGCTGTTTGCCCCCACGGCGGCGGGGTGCAGGCCTCATGGGACGGCAAGGCTGCAGGGACGCAGGGCGGTAGGTCTGCCGGGCAGCAGAGGGAAGGGCTCCATGCCTCCCAGATTGGCGGGGCTGTAGGACTTTAGGCCTCCAAGGGCAGCAGAGCAACAGGGCAGCAGGGTGGGAGGGCTGCAGGCCTCAGAGGGCGGCAGGGCTGCAGGGCTCACAGGGTGGCAGGGCTGCATGGCACCAGGCAGGGTACCAGGGCAGCAGGGTGGCAGAGCTGCATGCCTCCCAATGCTGCAGGGCAGCAGGCATCGAAGGGCGGCAGGGCAGCAGGGAGACAGGTCTGCCGGCCTCACAGGGCGGCCGGGGTGCAGGGCAGCAGGGAGGGAGGGCTGCAGGCCTCAGAGGGCGGCAGGTCTGCAGGACCCTCAGGGCGGCAGGACTGCAAGGCAGCACAATGCAGTCGGGGTTTGCGGGCTCTCCTGTTGGCACCACTGTCAACAAGCAGACGGCCTTCGGTAACCAGCCAGGTATTCTCCACACTCCTCATTTTACCACGACTGGCTTTGGAGGTCCCAGTGGGATCCCTAGCACTGGGAACACTAGCCCACAAGTTACAGGTACCACTACAGGCCCACAGACCTGGTGGGGCCTGCCGTCCTCAATGGCTCACCATTTACAGCTACTCCTACAGGCCCACAGACCTTGGTGGGGCCTGCCGTCCTCAATGGCCCACCACTGATGGCTACTACGACAAGCTCACAGACGTTTGTGGGACCTGCAATCCCCATGGATGGGCTTAATGTGCCCATGCCAGGTTCCATTCGCTCACAGGCCTCTGGAGCATTCAACGTTGGAGCTGGACTGAAGGGGACATCCAGCACCCCTTCCGCTCGTCCTCTTGGTCAGATAGCCTCCAGTCCATCGCATGGAAGTCCAGCTGCTGCTACAGGAAGGGCAAGTACTGTCCCAGTAATGGGACATGCTTCTAGTGCCACTTTCCATCCAGACATCTGGGGCCCACTTGCCCAAATCACAGGTGGTACTGTGATGGGAAACAGCACCATTCCCCCTGTTGGAGGCGCTAGTGCGCCCACTGCCAATACGTGTCCCCAAGGGTCACTGGGACGAACAAAATCCGGGGAAGGAACCCCCCCAAGCCACAGCACTTCTCCGTGTGGAAACGCCACCACCACAAAGGTCTGTGTGTCAAAGGTCGTGCGTGTTTCCCTCTTACAGAGCACCAGGGCCTTGCCTGGCCACACGACCTCACTTTTAGTTGCAAGAAGCAGCACCGAGATCTCAGTGCTTCGATGCACTTCTAGTTCTATCTTGCCGCCAGGCACCCGGGGCCTTCAGGCCTCTCAGAGCGTCAGGGAAGCAGGGCAGCAGGGAGCCAGGGTAGCAGGGCAGCAGAGCAGGGCAGCAGGGAGGCAGGGCTGCAGGAATGGCATGGCCGCAGGGCTGCAGGCTTCCCAGGGCAACAAGGCTGCAGGCTTCGCAGGGCGGCAGGGCTACAGGGAAGCAGGGCAGCAGGACAGCAGGGCAGCAGTGATGCAGGCCTCTCAGGGCAGCAGGACTGCAGGGCAGCCGGGCAGTAGGGCTGCAGGTCTCCGCGTGCGGCAGGGCTGTAGGGCTGCAGGGCGCCAGGGCTGTAGGCCTCGCAGGGCCACCGGGCTTCAGGGCAAAGGGCGGCAAAGCTTCAAGCCTCCCAGGGCGTCAGGGCTGCAGGCCTCTCCGGGCGTCAGGGCTGCAGGGCAGCAGGGCAGGAGGGCTCCAGGCCTCCCAGGGAGGCAGGGCTGCAGGCCTCGCAGGGCAGCTGGTTGGCATGGCTGCCGGGCAGCAGGGCAGCAGGGCTGCAGGGGAGCAGGGTGGCTTGGCTGCAGGGCAGCAGGGCTGCAGGGCAGGCCCTCGGGGAAGCAGGCCCCTCACCGCCTCTGGGCCTTGGGGGGCTCCTGAGCTCGCCTTCCTCGGCTTCCCCAGGGAAGGGGGGCCACGCACAGCCTCGGGGCTGAGTGCTCCGGGCCTGGCCGCTGCAGGCCCAGGCCGCGCCCCTCCCCCACGCTGGCGGTTGCCAGGCTGGTGCTCAACCGCCTCCGCCCCTACCCGCCCCGCCCCGCCCCGCCCCGGTGGCCCCGCCCACCTGGGCTGCTGCTGGGGGCGCGGCCCCAGGCCCCGCCCACTGCCTGCCCGCGGAGGGGCCCCCCGGAGTGGCGGGCTCCCGGAGGTGTTCCAGGGACACCTCACAATGGCTGGGCGCAGCGCTCAGCGGCTCAGCTGTGCTGCCCCTGGAGAGGAGCCAGGCGCCTCGGAGACCCTCCCCCAGGCCCGGCGCTCCGACCTCGCGACTCTCGCGCACAGTAGCCCTAAATGGGCAGCCTGCTTTGTAGGTTTCTTCGCCCTCCCCGCCGCCGGCCCCTGCCCGGCCGCGGTCGCCCGCTGCTCACCCCTGCCTGGGACACCGCCCATCCTGGCCGCGACCACCCCGCCGTTCCTGCACCTGCCCCCTGCTCTGGGCGCAGGCCATTCCTCCGGGATCGCAGGCCCCCACCAGCTCGCTGCCACGTGGAGCCCAGGAGGCGGTACCCGCTCCCCCAGGCCGCGTGCCCCCCTCTGGGCCTCCTCCCCGTGGTGAACTGGAGGAACCCTCCGGGTCAACCTGTGCTGGCTGCGCGCAGTTCCCTGGGGTGCGGGCCCTCGAGGACTGTGAGGATCCCTGCTCTGGGGCGCAGGTTCCGGCTCCTGCATTCCCTACCTGCACAGGAAGCCAAGGCTGCGAGTCAGGTACCATCCCCTCCCCTCCCCCTTTGCAGCCCACAGGGGGTGGAGGAGAAGGTCCCAGAGCACCCCGGAGAACAGACCGAGGCTCTTGGTGGGAGTGGCCGCCCCCAGAGCAGTGGGGGGACACCCCTGACATCTGAGCCCCCGGACACCAGTGGCGTTCTCCGCCTCCACCAAGCCAGCCCTGCAACTCTGGACCGCCGTCTCGTGCCCTCCGGAGGGAGCTCGTGGGACAGCACCCAGATGGCTCCCGTGTCCTCCTCTGAAGGCCGCGTTGCCACCTCTTCATGTGGCCCCGTGGGAGATGCCCTCGCGAAGGCCGACAGGGATGCGGCAGTGCTCTGGGGCCCAACCGCATGCCGCCCCTTGCCGCAGGAGACGTGCACACAGGCGGCGGTGGCTGAAGACCATCAGCCTGGGCAGAGCACGCGGGCCGGAGCGAGGAAGGACACGCAGGCTGAGAAGCCCTCGGGCGTGTCGCCACGGAGCCCTCTCCCACCAGCACCTGCCAGCAGGAGGCAGAACAAGAGGAAAATGGCCATGCCCCTCTGTCTGCCATTGCCGCCACCACTACCGCTGCTGTGGGATCGAGGGGACTTGCCCGCACCCCCGAAGCTTCCTTGCGTGGCTCTTGACAAGGACCCAGGCACCTTGCCGAACACCGAGTGTCCCAGGAACACGACCTTGAAGGACAGAACAAAGACCTTGGCAGACTGCAGGGCCGCTCAGCCTGCCCCCTCCTCCCCCCCACTGGCCTCGGAGACTGCAGGCTCCCCGCCCCTGGCCGCTCACGCTGCCCACGGCCCTGTTCCTCCCACCGACTTGGCTGGCCCTTCTGCCAGGCCCCCGATCCTCTCTGTCCCGCCGTCGTCCCCAACACGACATGCTGGTCGGGAAACAGGACATGGAGTTCCTGAATCTCCTCCCCTGGCTGTTCCCGCCGATTCTCTTCCTCCCCTTCCTTCCAGTCCCATTAGGGAAACTCCACTTGGCGGAGGTCCTCCTCCCCCAGGCAGGGCTACGACACCCACCTCTGACCGCCCCACACCTTCGAACACCTCAACCTCCTTACACCCACCCTCCTGCACAAAAGAATCCCCAACCCCCATGTGTGTAGACTCTCCCCCTCTCTTCCTGACAGCCCCTCTCCCAGGCCACTCCACACATAGCTCTGTCGTTGCAGTCCAGCCCGGCACCTCTAAACCGACTTCTTCTCCCACCGCAGCAAAGTCATCTGCTTTGACCTCCAAGCCTATTTCCAATCCTGGTGTCGTGGACATGGACACTACGTCCCCTTCCCGGGCTGTCATCTTCAGCTCGCCCCCACACTCCGGGATGAGCTGTCCTCCGTTTTCCCGGGGCCATTGCAGTATGAAGCAGAGATGCCCTGCGAAAGTTGCAGCATCCACCAGTCTAACTACGTCGATGGCCCCCGGCCCCACACCACTTGCTGATCAACTCTTCAGCCTCCACATCACCCCTCAGCCCACACATGGGACTCTTGCTGGGAGGCAGCAAAAAGCTGTTCTTCCCAGTGCTCCTATCGCCACTGGCTTGCCCAACCTGAGTTCTGGGGCCACCACCACTCCAGTAGGCAGCACCTCTGCAAACACCCAACCTCACTCTGACGCCGAGGCCATGGATACCACATCGCCCTCCCGGGCTGTCATCTTCCAGACCCCCCCTGGGTCCCAGAAGAACCACTTGCCACTTTACAGGGCGCTTCCTGGTTCTGGTAACACACCACCCGGTAGCAGCACTGCCTTGGCCCATGGCTCTACCACTTTACCTCAAAAGTCAGCCATCATACAGGCCTCCGTTTGGATGCATCCTAACCCAGGAATCGCCCCTCACTCTGACCCCGATGCCATGGATACCACATCTCCCTCCCGGCTGTCATCTTCCAGACCCCCCCTGGGTCCCAGAAGAACCGCTTGCCACTGTACAGGGCGCTTCCTGGTTCTGGCAACACACCACCCGGTAGCAGCACTGCCTTGGCCCATGGCTCTACCAGTTTCCCTCAAAAGTCAGCCATCATACAGGCCTCCGTTTGGATGCATCCTAACCCAGGAATCGCCCCTCACTCTGACCCCGATGCCATGGATACCACATCTCCCTCCCGGGCTGTCATCTTCCAGACCCCCCCTGGGTCCCAGAAGAACCACTTGCCACTGTGCAGGGCGCTTCCTGGTTCTGGCAACACACCACCCGGTAGCAGCACTGCCTTGGCCCATGGCTCTACCAGTTTCCCTCAAAAGTCAGCCATCATACAGGCCTCCGTTTGGATGCATCCTAACCCAGGAATCGCCCCTCACTCTGACCCCGATGCCATGGATACCACATCTCCCTCCCGGGCTGTCATCTTTCAGTCCCCCCCTGGGTCCCAGAAGAACCACTTGCCACTTTACAGGGCGCTTCCTGGTTCTGGCAACACACCACCCGGTAGCAGCACTGCCTTGGCCCATGGCTCTACCAGTTTCCCTCAAAAGTCAGCCATCATACACGCCTCGGTTTCGATGCATCCTAACCCAGGAATCGCCCTTCACTCTGACCCCGATGCCATGGATACCACATCTCCCTCCCGGGCTGTCATCTTTCAGTAACCCCCTGGGTCCCAGAAGAACTGCTCCCACTGTACAGGGCGCTTCCTGGTTCTGGCAACACACCACCCGGTAGCAGCACTGCCTTGGCCCATGCCTCTACTAGTTTCCATCAAAAGTCAGCCATCAAACACCCCCGTTTCGCTGCATCCTAACCCAGGAATCACCTCTCAGCCCACAATTGGAGGTCACAATGGGCAATAGCCTAACAATTGCTACCTGATAGGAAAAACAGTTGCCCCAACACAGGCTATCGGCCTGGCCACTCCTATAACTCAGCCACCCGGAGGGACCGCAATGCAATCGGGGTTTGCGGGCCTCCTTTTGGCACCACTGTCAACAAGCAGACGGCCCTTCGGTAACCAGCCAAGTGTTCTCCACACTCCTCATTCTACCACGACTGGCTTTCAGGTACCACTGGGATCCCTAGCACTGGGAACAGTAGCTCACCAGTTACAGGTACCACTACAGGCCCACAGACTGTCATGGGGCCTGCAGTCCCCAGTGGCTTACCAGTCACGGCTACCACTACAGGCCCACAGAGCTTTGTGGGACCTGCAATCCCCATGGATGGACTTAATGTGCCCATGCCAGATTCCATTCGCTCACAGGTGTCAGGAGCATTCAACGTTGGAGCTGGACTGAAGGGGACATCCAGCACCCCTTCCGCTCGTCCTCTTGTTCGGATAGCCTCCAGTCCATCGCATGGAAGTCCAGCTGCTGCTACAAGAAGGGCAAGTACTGTCCCAGTAATGGGACATGCTTCTAGTGCCACATTAAGTCCAGGCACCAGGGGCCCACCTGCCCAAATCACAGACAGCACTGTGATGGGAAACAGCATCATTCCCCCTGTTGGAGGCGCTAGTGTGCCCATTGCCCAGACATGTCCCAAAGGGTCACTAGGACGAACAAAATCCGGGGAAGGAACCCCCCCAAGCCACAGCACTTCTCCGTGTGGAAACGCCACCACCACAAAGGTCTTTGTGTCAAAGGTCGTGCGTGTTTCCCTCTTACAGAGCACCAGGGCCTTGCCTGGCCACACGACCTCACTTTTAGTTGCAAGAAGCAGCACCGAGATCTCAGTGCTTCGATGCACTTCTAGTTCTACCTTGCCGCCAGGCACCGGGGCCCACCTGCCCAGCATGGAAGTGGTGTGAAGGCGGGGAACAACATCACTCCCAAGACTGGAAGACCTGGAATTCCTGCTTTATGTCAGCATCATGGGGGCTCACCTGATGCAAACACAGATGAAAACACCATCGTGTCTATGATGGCAGCCCTCTGTATCAGCAACCGCCCTCAGAACCCTGGGGGCCTACCTGTGTCTAAGGCACCTGGTGCTACCGGGAACAGCACCGTACCTACTGCGACTGGACATCATAATGGTCCCCCATTCCTACAGAGCACACAGAACCCCTGCAAACCACAGCACTGATGGTGCAATGGCGGATACCGCCATGCCTTTTAGGGAGAAATCTCCACTCTTGGAACACGTGGACCTGCCCCTGGTCAGGGCACCCCTCTGACTTTGGTGAGCCAGCACTGTGGGTGCAAGTTCTTGGTCCACTGTTCTGTGCTCTGCGCATGGCTAGGGTACCTTCATAACCTGCCTAGGAGCCGCCACCAACTGGTTCCTTTCTTTTGTCATGAATCTCAACCTCTACGGAACAGATATTCCCCCACATATTCTGTGTCATAGTAAATGGATTTTGCTGTATCGGAGCCTCAATGGGCTCTTATCGTTCCCAGATTACGTAGATATACTTCTACCTCTATAAAACTTTGTTCTTACTAATCTGCCTTTGCTCGTGTGTCTTTTTGTCTCAGCAGTAGAGAAAGAATTAACCTATGTGGGTGTGGTGGGTTGAACCAGAGTTTGTGCCAAATTTTCTGTGTCTCAGTGACTGGAATGTGGAAGTAGCCACAGGTTCTGGCTGCACGCACAGACCCCTGAAATCTGCATTTTGAGTGTAAGGGATGGGAATCCAGGAGGAAGGAAGGTCCAAAGGAGGGAGAGATGAGGTGACTCGTCCTTGCCTCCACCCTCTGTGCCTCGCTCTCCTCTCCCCGACTCTGACCTCAATAGAGGTTGAATAACCCTTGATGAGTGAAAGGAAACCACCCTATGATTTTAGTTTTCTAAAACTAAGTGTTTTCTTGGGTGCCTTCTTAGTTTAGACTTAGGCCAGTCTTTCTTACGTGTTCCCACTTCACCCAGAGAAGACAGATTTGAGCCCGGAGAAACAAATGGAAAGAGAGCACATACATGCCTGCTCTGTCTGTGTGTGTTAGAAATTTCGGTTGACTTAGAATTTATTGTGCTGCTTAAGCGCACTAGAACAGGTCCTTTTCAATAATCAGCCCAGCGCTGATCTAAATCACTAAAATATCAAATCACCTGTGTGGGCAGCAGGGAGCCAGGGTTGCAGGGCAGGAGAGCAGCAGGTCAGCAGGGCAGCAGGTCAGCAGGGCAGCAGGGCTACAGGGCAGCAGGGAGGCAGGGCTGCAAGCCTCCGAAGGTGGCAGGACTGCAGGGCAACTGGGCGGCAGGGCTGCAAGCCTTACAGGGCAGCGGGACTGCAAGGCAGCAGGTCGGCAGGCCTGCAGGGCGGCAGAGGAGCAGGGCGGCATGGAGGCCGGGTGGCAGGGTGGCAGGGCTTCAAGCCTCCCAGGGCATCACGACTGCAGGGCAGCAGGTCAGCAGGGCTACAGGGCAGCAGGGCATGAGGGCTCCAAGCCTCCTAGTGCAGCAGGGCTGCCGGCCTCCAAGGGCGGCAGGGCTACAGGACTCCCAGGGTGGCAGTGCTGCAGGCCCCCCAGGTCGGTAGGCCTGCAGGCCTCACAGGGCGGCAGAGCTGCATGGCACCAGGCAGGGTAGCAGGGCAGCAGGGAGGCAGAGCTGCATACCTCCCAGGGCAGCAGGGCTTCAGGCATCGAAGGGCGGCCGGGCAGCAGGGCGGTAGGTCTGCCGGCCTCACAGGGCGGCCGGGGTGCAGGGCAGCAGGGAGGCAGGGCTGCAGACCTCGCAGGGGGTAGGCCAGCAGGGTTGCAGGGCTACAAGCCTCGAAGGGCAGGAGGGCTGTAGGGGAACAGGGCGGCAGTAATGAAGGCCTCCCAGGGTGGCAGGGCTGAGGTCTCACAGGGCGGCCGGGGAGCAGGGCAACAGAGTGGCAGGGCTGCAGTCCTCGTAGGGAAGCAGGGCTGTAGGGCAACAGGGTGGCAGGACTGCAAGCCTCCCAGTGTGGCAGGGGTGCGGGCCTCCCAGGACGTTGGGGTGCAGGCCTAACAGGATGGCAAGGCTGCAGGGCTCCCAGGGTCAAGGCCTGCAGGCCTCACAGGGCGGCAGGGCTGCCTGGCATCAGGCAGGGTAGCAGGGCAGCAGGGTGGCAGAGCTGCAGGCCTCCCAGAGTAGCAGGGCTGCAGGCATGGAAGGACGGCAGGGCAGCAGGGTGGCAGGGCTGCAGGCCTCGCATGGCGGCCGGGTGGCAAGGCAACAGAGTGGCAGGGCTGCAATCGTCGTCGGGCAGCAGGGCTGCAGGCCTCGAAGAGCTGCAGGGCAGCAGGGTAGCAGGGCTGCGGGCCTCACAAGGCTGCCAGGCTTCAGGGCAACAGGGCGGCAATGCTGCAAGCCTTCCACGGTGGCAGGGCTCAAGGCCTCCGTGGGCAGCAGGGCTACAAGTGTGGTACCGCGGCAGGGCTGCAGGACAGCAGGGCTACAGGCCCTCAGGGCGGCAGGGCTGCAGGTCAGCAGGGCGGCAGGGCTCCATGCCTCCATGTTTGGCGGGGCTACAGGATTTTAGGCCTCCAAGGGGGGCAGAGCAATAGGGCAACAGAGTGGCAGGGCTGCAGTCCTCGTAGGGCAGCAGGGCTTTAGAGCAACAGGGCGTCGGGACTGCAGGCCTCCCAGGATGACAGGGCTGCAGGGCACCAGGGCGGGAGGACTGCAGGCCTCCCAGGTTGGTAGGCCTGCAGGCCTCCCAGGGCAGCAGGGCTGCATGGCACCAGGCAGGGTAGCAGGGCAGCAGGGTCGCAGGGCTGCATGACTCTCAGGGTAGCAGGGCTGCAGGCATCGAAGGGTGGCAGGGCAGGAGGGCAGCAGGTGCTGGCCTCACAGGGCAACCGGGGTGCAGGGCAGCAGCCTGGCAGGGCTGCATGCCTCCGAGGGCGGCACGGCTGCACCTCTCTCAGGGGGGCAGGGTAGCAGTGTGGCAGGTCTGCCAGCCTCACAGGTCGGCCGGGGTGCAGGGCAGCAGGGCGCCAGGGCTGTAGGCCTCCCATGGACGCCAGGCGTCAGGGCAACAGGGCGGCAATGCTGCAAGCCTCCCAAGGTGGCAGGTCTGCAGGGCAACTGGGCAGCAGGGATGCAAGCCTCGCAGGGCATTAGGACTGCAGGGTAGCAGGTCGGGAGGGCTGCAGGGCGGCAGGACCGCAAGGGAGCAGGTCGGCAGGGCTGCAGAGCAGCAGGGCATCAGGCCGGCACGGAGGCCGTGCAGCAGGGTGGCAGGGCTTCAAGCCTCCCAGGGCATCACGACTGCGGGGCAGCAGGTCAGCAGGGATGCAGGGCAGCAGTGGGGCAGTCCTTCAGGCCTCCCAGGGCTCCAGGGCTTCAGAGCAGCAGTGCTACAGGCCTCCCAGGGCTTCAGGGCTCAGGGTGCAGGGCGGCAGGGATGCGGACCTCACAGGGCCGCCTGGCTTCAGGGCAAAGGGCGGCAAAACTGCAAGCCTCCCAGGGCGGCAGGGCTGCAGGCCTCTCAGGGCAACAAGGCTCCAGGCTTCGCAGGGCGGCAGGGCTTCAGGGCAGCAGGGCAGGAGGGCTCCAGGCCTCCTAGTGTGGCAGGGCTGCGCACCTTCCTGGGAGCGGCAGGGCTGCAGGACTCCCAGGGCAGCAGGGCTGCAGGTATCGAAGGACGGCAGGACAGCAGGGCGGCAGGTCTGCCAGCCTCACAGGGCATCCGGGGTTCAGGGCAGCAGGGCGCCAGGGCTGTAGGCCTCGCAGGGACGCCAGGCTTCAGGGCAACAGGGCGGCAATGCTGCAAGCCTCCCAGGGTGGCAGGGCTGCAGGCCTCTCAGGGAAGCCGGGGTGCAGGGCAGCAGGGCGGCAGGGATGCAGGCCTCCTAAGGCGGCAGGACTGTAGGGCAACTGGGCAGTAGGGCTGCAAGCCTCACAGGGTTTCAGGACTGCAGGGCAGCAGGTCAGGAGGGCTGCAGGGCAGCAGGACTGCAGGGCAGCAGGTCAGCAGAGCTGCAGGGCAGCAGGGGGTCAGGGCGGCATGGAGGCCGGGCGAAAGGGTGGCAGGGCTTCGAGCCCCCCAGGGCACCACGACTGCGGGGCAGCAGGGCGGCAGGGATGCAGGGCAGCTGATCAGCAGTGCTACAGGCCTGGCAGGGCTGCAGGGCTCAGGGTGCAGGGCGGCAGAGCTGCAAGCCTCCCAGTGTGGCAGGGCTGCAGGCCGTTAGTCCTCCAAGTGTGGCAGAGTGGCAGGGCAGCAGGGCGGCAGGGCTGCAGGCCTCCCAGGGTAGCCGGGTGGCAGCACAACAGAGTGGCAGGGATGCAGTCCTCGTAGGGCAGCAGGGCTGTAGAGCAACAGGGCGTCAGGGTGGCACAGACGCCGGGCAGTAGGACTCCAGGCCTCCTAGTGTGGCAGGGCTGCGCGCCTCCCTGGGGGCGGCAGGGCTACAGGACTCCCAGGGCGGCAGTGCGGCAGGGCTCCCAGGGCGCTAGGGTGGCAGGGCTTCAGGCCTCCCAGGGCATCACGACTGCGGGGCAGCAGGTCAGCAGTGATGAAGCGCAGCAGGGTGGCAGGGCTGCAGGCCTCTCAGGGCGTCAGGGCTGCAGGGCAGCAGGGAGCCAGGGTTGCAGGGCAGCAGAGCAGGGCAGCAGGACTACAGGGCAGCAGGGCGGCAGGGCGGCAGGGCTGCAGGCCTCGCCAGGAGTCAGGGCTTCAGGAAAGGCAAGGCGGCTGGGCTGCAAGCTTCCCAGGACAATAAGGCTGCAGGCTTCATAGGGCAGCAGGGCAGGAGGACTCCAGGCCTCCTAGTGTGGCAGGGCTGCGCGCCTCCCTGGGGGCGGCAGGGCTACAGGACTCCCAGGGCGGCAGTGCTGCAGGGCTCCCAGGGCACTAGGCCTGCAGGCCTCACAGGGTGGCAGGGCTGCCAGGCATCAGGCAGGTTAGCAGGGCAGCAGGGTGCAGAGCTGCAATCCTCCCAGGGCAGCAGGACTGCAGGCATCGAAGGGCGGCAGGGCTACAGCCCTTCCAGGGCAGCAGGGCTACAGTGCAGCAGGTCAACAGGGCGGCAGGGCTGTTTGCCCCCACGGCGGCGGGGTGCAGGCCTCATGGGACGGCAAGGCTGCAGGGACGCAGGGCGGTAGGTCTGCCGGGCAGCAGAGGGAAGGGCTCCATGCCTCCCAGATTGGCGGGGCTGTAGGACTTTAGGCCTCCAAGGGCAGCAGAGCAACAGGGCAGCAGGGTGGGAGGGCTGCAGGCCTCAGAGGGCGGCAGGGCTGCAGGGCTCACAGGGTGGCAGGGCTGCATGGCACCAGGCAGGGTACCAGGGCAGCAGGGTGGCAGAGCTGCATGCCTCCCAATGCTGCAGGGCAGCAGGCATCGAAGGGCGGCAGGGCAGCAGGGAGACAGGTCTGCCGGCCTCACAGGGCGGCCGGGGTGCAGGGCAGCAGGGAGGGAGGGCTGCAGGCCTCAGAGGGCGGCAGGTCTGCAGGACCCTCAGGGCGGCAGGACTGCAAGGCAGCACAATGCAGTCGGGGTTTGCGGGCTCTCCTGTTGGCACCACTGTCAACAAGCAGACGGCCTTCGGTAACCAGCCAGGTATTCTCCACACTCCTCATTTTACCACGACTGGCTTTGGAGGTCCCAGTGGGATCCCTAGCACTGGGAACACTAGCCCACAAGTTACAGGTACCACTACAGGCCCACAGACCTGGTGGGGCCTGCCGTCCTCAATGGCTCACCATTTACAGCTACTCCTACAGGCCCACAGACCTTGGTGGGGCCTGCCGTCCTCAATGGCCCACCACTGATGGCTACTACGACAAGCTCACAGACGTTTGTGGGACCTGCAATCCCCATGGATGGGCTTAATGTGCCCATGCCAGGTTCCATTCGCTCACAGGCCTCTGGAGCATTCAACGTTGGAGCTGGACTGAAGGGGACATCCAGCACCCCTTCCGCTCGTCCTCTTGGTCAGATAGCCTCCAGTCCATCGCATGGAAGTCCAGCTGCTGCTACAGGAAGGGCAAGTACTGTCCCAGTAATGGGACATGCTTCTAGTGCCACTTTCCATCCAGACATCTGGGGCCCACTTGCCCAAATCACAGGTGGTACTGTGATGGGAAACAGCACCATTCCCCCTGTTGGAGGCGCTAGTGCGCCCACTGCCAATACGTGTCCCCAAGGGTCACTGGGACGAACAAAATCCGGGGAAGGAACCCCCCCAAGCCACAGCACTTCTCCGTGTGGAAACGCCACCACCACAAAGGTCTGTGTGTCAAAGGTCGTGCGTGTTTCCCTCTTACAGAGCACCAGGGCCTTGCCTGGCCACACGACCTCACTTTTAGTTGCAAGAAGCAGCACCGAGATCTCAGTGCTTCGATGCACTTCTAGTTCTATCTTGCCGCCAGGCACCCGGGGCCTTCAGGCCTCTCAGAGCGTCAGGGAAGCAGGGCAGCAGGGAGCCAGGGTAGCAGGGCAGCAGAGCAGCAGGCAGCAGGGAGGCAGGGCTGCAGGAATGGCATGGCCGCAGGGCTGCAGGCTTCCCAGGGCAACAAGGCTGCAGGCTTCGCAGGGCGGCAGGGCTACAGGGAAGCAGGGCAGCAGGACAGCAGGGCAGCAGTGATGCAGGCCTCTCAGGGCAGCAGGACTGCAGGGCAGCCGGGCAGTAGGGCTGCAGGTCTCCGCGTGCGGCAGGGCTGTAGGGCTGCAGGGCGCCAGGGCTGTAGGCCTCGCAGGGCCACCGGGCTTCAGGGCAAAGGGCGGCAAAGCTTCAAGCCTCCCAGGGCGTCAGGGCTGCAGGCCTCTCCGGGCGTCAGGGCTGCAGGGCAGCAGGGCAGGAGGGCTCCAGGCCTCCCAGGGAGGCAGGGCTGCAGGCCTCGCAGGGCAGCTGGTTGGCATGGCTGCCGGGCAGCAGGGCAGCAGGGCTGCAGGGGAGCAGGGTGGCTTGGCTGCAGGGCAGCAGGGCTGCAGGGCAGGCCCTCGGGGAAGCAGGCCCCTCACCGCCTCTGGGCCTTGGGGGGCTCCTGAGCTCGCCTTCCTCGGCTTCCCCAGGGAAGGGGGGCCACGCACAGCCTCGGGGCTGAGTGCTCCGGGCCTGGCCGCTGCAGGCCCAGGCCGCGCCCCTCCCCCACGCTGGCGGTTGCCAGGCTGGTGCTCAACCGCCTCCGCCCCTACCCGCCCCGCCCCGCCCCGCCCCGGTGGCCCCGCCCACCTGGGCTGCTGCTGGGGGCGCGGCCCCAGGCCCCGCCCACTGCCTGCCCGCGGAGGGGCCCCCCGGAGTGGCGGGCTCCCGGAGGTGTTCCAGGGACACCTCACAATGGCTGGGCGCAGGGCTCAGCGGCTCAGCTGTGCTGCCCCTGGAGAGGAGCCAGGCGCCTCGGAGACCCTCCCCCAGGCCCGGCGCTCCGACCTCGCGACTCTCGCGCACAGTAGCCCTAAATGGGCAGCCTGCTTTGTAGGTTTCTTCGCCCTCCCCGCCGCCGGCCCCTGCCCGGCCGCGGTCGCCCGCTGCTCACCCCTGCCTGGGACACCGCCCATCCTGGCCGCGACCACCCCGCCGTTCCTGCACCTGCCCCCTGCTCTGGGCGCAGGCCATTCCTCCGGGATCGCAGGCCCCCACCAGCTCGCTGCCACGTGGAGCCCAGGAGGCGGTACCCGCTCCCCCAGGCCGCGTGCCCCCCTCTGGGCCTCCTCCCCGTGGTGAACTGGAGGAACCCTCCGGGTCAACCTGTGCTGGCTGCGCGCAGTTCCCTGGGGTGCGGGCCCTCGAGGACTGTGAGGATCCCTGCTCTGGGGCGCAGGTTCCGGCTCCTGCATTCCCTACCTGCACAGGAAGCCAAGGCTGCGAGTCAGGTACCATCCCCTCCCCTCCCCCTTTGCAGCCCACAGGGGGTGGAGGAGAAGGTCCCAGAGCACCCCGGAGAACAGACCGAGGCTCTTGGTGGGAGTGGCCGCCCCCAGAGCAGTGGGGGGACACCCCTGACATCTGAGCCCCCGGACACCAGTGGCGTTCTCCGCCTCCACCAAGCCAGCCCTGCAACTCTGGACCGCCGTCTCGTGCCCTCCGGAGGGAGCTCGTGGGACAGCACCCAGATGGCTCCCGTGTCCTCCTCTGAAGGCCGCGTTGCCACCTCTTCATGTGGCCCCGTGGGAGATGCCCTCGCGAAGGCCGACAGGGATGCGGCAGTGCTCTGGGGCCCAACCGCATGCCGCCCCTTGCCGCAGGAGACGTGCACACAGGCGGCGGTGGCTGAAGACCATCAGCCTGGGCAGAGCACGCGGGCCGGAGCGAGGAAGGACACGCAGGCTGAGAAGCCCTCGGGCGTGTCGCCACGGAGCCCTCTCCCACCAGCACCTGCCAGCAGGAGGCAGAACAAGAGGAAAATGGCCATGCCCCTCTGTCTGCCATTGCCGCCACCACTACCGCTGCTGTGGGATCGAGGGGACTTGCCCGCACCCCCGAAGCTTCCTTGCGTGGCTCTTGACAAGGACCCAGGCACCTTGCCGAACACCGAGTGTCCCAGGAACACGACCTTGAAGGACAGAACAAAGACCTTGGCAGACTGCAGGGCCGCTCAGCCTGCCCCCTCCTCCCCCCCACTGGCCTCGGAGACTGCAGGCTCCCCGCCCCTGGCCGCTCACGCTGCCCACGGCCCTGTTCCTCCCACCGACTTGGCTGGCCCTTCTGCCAGGCCCCCGATCCTCTCTGTCCCGCCGTCGTCCCCAACACGACATGCTGGTCGGGAAACAGGACATGGAGTTCCTGAATCTCCTCCCCTGGCTGTTCCCGCCGATTCTCTTCCTCCCCTTCCTTCCAGTCCCATTAGGGAAACTCCACTTGGCGGAGGTCCTCCTCCCCCAGGCAGGGCTACGACACCCACCTCTGACCGCCCCACACCTTCGAACACCTCAACCTCCTTACACCCACCCTCCTGCACAAAAGAATCCCCAACCCCCATGTGTGTAGACTCTCCCCCTCTCTTCCTGACAGCCCCTCTCCCAGGCCACTCCACACATAGCTCTGTCGTTGCAGTCCAGCCCGGCACCTCTAAACCGACTTCTTCTCCCACCGCAGCAAAGTCATCTGCTTTGACCTCCAAGCCTATTTCCAATCCTGGTGTCGTGGACATGGACACTACGTCCCCTTCCCGGGCTGTCATCTTCAGCTCGCCCCCACACTCCGGGATGAGCTGTCCTCCGTTTTCCCGGGGCCATTGCAGTATGAAGCAGAGATGCCCTGCGAAAGTTGCAGCATCCACCAGTCTAACTACGTCGATGGCCCCCGGCCCCACACCACTTGCTGATCAACTCTTCAGCCTCCACATCACCCCTCAGCCCACACATGGGACTCTTGCTGGGAGACAGCAAACAGCTGTTCTTCCCAGTGCTCCTATCGCCACTGGCTTGCCCAACCTGAGTTCTGGGGCCACCACCACTCCAGTAGGCAGCACCTCTGCAAACACCCAACCTCACTCTGACGCCGAGGCCATGGATACCACATCGCCCTCCCGGGCTGTCATCTTCCAGACCCCCCTGGGTCCCAGAAGAACCACTTGCCACTTTACAGGGCGCTTCCTGGTTCTGGCAACACACCACCCGGTAGCAGCACTGCCTTGGCCCATGGCTCTACCACTTTACCTCAAAAGTCAGCCATCATACAGGCCTCCGTTTGGATGCATCCTAACCCAGGAATCGCCCCTCACTCTGACCCCGATGCCATGGATACCACATCTCCCTCCCGGGCTGTCATCTTCCAGACCCCCCCTGGGTCCCAGAAGAACCGCTTGCCACTGTACAGGGCGCTTCCTGGTTCTGGCAACACACCACCCGGTAGCAGCACTGCCTTGGCCCATGGCTCTACCAGTTTCCCTCAAAAGTCAGCCATCATACAGGCCTCCGTTTGGATGCATCCTAACCCAGGAATCGCCCCTCACTCTGACCCCGATGCCATGGATACCACATCTCCCTCCCGGGCTGTCATCTTCCAGACCCCCCCTGGGTCCCAGAAGAACCACTTGCCACTGTGCAGGGCGCTTCCTGGTTCTGGCAACACACCACCCGGTAGCAGCACTGCCTTGGCCCATGGCTCTACCAGTTTCCCTCAAAAGTCAGCCATCATACAGGCCTCCGTTTGGATGCATCCTAACCCAGGAATCGCCCCTCACTCTGACCCCGATGCCATGGATACCACATCTCCCTCCCGGGCTGTCATCTTCCAGACCCCCCCTGGGTCCCAGAAGAACCACTTGCCACTGTGCAGGGCGCTTCCTGGTTCTGGCAACACACCACACGGTAGCAGCACTGCCTTGGCCCATGGCTCTACCAGTTTCCCTCAAAAGTCAGCCATCATACAGGCCTCCGTTTCGATGCATCCTAACCCAGGAATCGCCCCTCACTCTGACCCCGATGCCATGGATACCACATCTCCCTCCCGGGCTGTCATCTTTCAGTAACCCCCTGGGTCCCAGAAGAACTGCTCCCACTGTACAGGGCGCTTCCTGGTTCTGGCAACACACCACCCGGTAGCAGCACTGCCTTGGCCCATGCCTCTACTAGTTTCCATCAAAAGTCAGCCATCAAACACCCCCGTTTCGCTGCATCCTAACCCAGGAATCACCTCTCAGCCCACAATTGGAGGTCACAATGGGCAATAGCCTAACAATTGCTACCTGATAGGAAAAACAGTTGCCCCAACACAGGCTATCGGCCTGGCCACTCCTATAACTCAGCCACCCGGAGGGACCGCAATGCAATCGGGGTTTGCGGGCCTCCTTTTGGCACCACTGTCAACAAGCAGACGGCCTTCGGTAACCAGCCAAGTGTTCTCCACACTCCTCATTCTACCACGACTGGCTTTCAGGTACCACTGGGATCCCTAGCACTGGGAACAGTAGCTCACCAGTTACAGGTACCACTACAGGCCCACAGACTGTCATGGGGCCTGCAGTCCCCAGTGGCTTACCAGTCACGGCTACCACTACAGGCCCACAGAGCTTTGTGGGACCTGCAATCCCCATGGATGGACTTAATGTGCCCATGCCAGATTCCATTCGCTCACAGGTGTCAGGAGCATTCAACGTTGGAGCTGGACTGAAGGGGACATCCAGCACCCCTTCCGCTCGTCCTCTTGTTCGGATAGCCTCCAGTCCATCGCATGGAAGTCCAGCTGCTGCTACAAGAAGGGCAAGTACTGTCCCAGTAATGGGACATGCTTCTAGTGCCACATTAAGTCCAGGCACCAGGGGCCCACCTGCCCAAATCACAGACAGCACTGTGATGGGAAACAGCATCATTCCCCCTGTTGGAGGCGCTAGTGTGCCCATTGCCCAGACATGTCCCAAAGGGTCACTAGGACGAACAAAATCCGGGGAAGGAACCCCCCCAAGCCACAGCACTTCTCCGTGTGGAAACGCCACCACCACAAAGGTCTTTGTGTCAAAGGTCGTGCGTGTTTCCCTCTTACAGAGCACCAGGGCCTTGCCTGGCCACACGACCTCACTTTTAGTTGCAAGAAGCAGCACCGAGATCTCAGTGCTTCGATGCACTTCTAGTTCTACCTTGCCGCCAGGCACCGGGGCCCACCTGCCCAGCATGGAAGTGGTGTGAAGGCGGGGAACAACATCACTCCCAAGACTGGAAGACCTGGAATTCCTGCTTTATGTCAGCATCATGGGGGCTCACCTGATGCAAACACAGATGAAAACACCATCGTGTCTATGATGGCAGCCCTCTGTATCAGCAACCGCCCTCAGAACCCTGGGGGCCTACCTGTGTCTAAGGCACCTGGTGCTACCGGGAACAGCACCGTACCTACTGCGACTGGACATCATAATGGTCCCCCATTCCTACAGAGCACACAGAACCCCTGCAAACCACAGCACTGATGGTGCAATGGCGGATACCGCCATGCCTTTTAGGGAGAAATCTCCACTCTTGGAACACGTGGACCTGCCCCTGGTCAGGGCACCCCTCTGACTTTGGTGAGCCAGCACTGTGGGTGCAAGTTCTTGGTCCACTGTTCTGTGCTCTGCGCATGGCTAGGGTACCTTCATAACCTGCCTAGGAGCCGCCACCAACTGGTTCCTTTCTTTTGTCATGAATCTCAACCTCTACGGAACAGATATTCCCCCACATATTCTGTGTCATAGTAAATGGATTTTGCTGTATCGGAGCCTCAATGGGCTCTTATCGTTCCCAGATTACGTAGATATACTTCTACCTCTATAAAACTTTGTTCTTACTAATCTGCCTTTGCTCGTGTGTCTTTTTGTCTCAGCAGTAGAGAAAGAATTAACCTATGTGGGTGTGGTGGGTTGAACCAGAGTTTGTGCCAAATTTTCTGTGTCTCAGTGACTGGAATGTGGAAGTAGCCACAGGTTCTGGCTGCACGCACAGACCCCTGAAATCTGCATTTTGAGTGTAAGGGATGGGAATCCAGGAGGAAGGAAGGTCCAAAGGAGGGAGAGATGAGGTGACTCGTCCTTGCCTCCACCCTCTGTGCTTCGCTCTCCTCTCCCTGACTCTGACCTCAATAGAGGTTGAATAACCCTTGATGAGTGAAAGGAAACCACCCTATGATTTTAGTTTTCTGAAACTATTTAAGTGTTTTCTTGGGTGCCTTCTTAGTTTAGACTTAGGCCAGTCTTTCTTACGTGTTCCCACTTCACCCAGAGAAGACAGATTTGAGCCCGGAGAAACAAATGGAAAGAGAGCACATACACGCCTGCTCTGTCTGTATGTGTAAGAAATTTCAGTTGACTTAGAATTTATTGTGCTTCTTAAGCGCACTAGAACAGGTCCTTTTCAATAATCAGCCCAGCTCTGATCTAAATCACTAAAATATCAAATCACCTGTGTGGTCAGCAGGGAGGCAGGGAGGCAGGGTTGCAGGGTAGCAGAGCAGCAGGGCAGCAGGGCAGCAGGGCAGTAGGGCTGCAGGGCTACAGGGCAGCAGGGAGGCAGGGCTGCAAGCCTCTGAAGGTGACAGGACTGCAGGGCAACTGGGCGGAAAGGAGGCTTGGTGGCAGGGTGGCAGGGCTTCAAGCCTCCCAGGGCATCACGACTGCAGGGCAGCTGGTCAGCAGGGCTGCAGGGCAGCAGGGCAGCAGTCCTTCAGGCCTCCCAGGGCTCTAGGGATTCAGAGCATCAGTGCTACAGGCCTTGCAGGGCTGCAGGGCTCTGGGTGCAGGGCCGCAGGACTGTAGGCCTCACAGGGCCACCTGGCTTCAGGGCAAAGGGCCGCAAAGCTGCAAGCCTCCCAGGGTGGCAGGGCTGCAGGCCTCTCAGGGCCTCAGGGCTACAGGGCAGCAGGGAGCCAGGGCAGCAGGTCAGCAGGTCTACAGGGCAGCAGGGCAGGAGGGCTCCAAGCCTCCTAGTGCAGCAGGGCTGCCGGCCTCCCATGGTGGCAGGGCTCAGGACTCCCAGGGCGGCAGTGATGCAGGCCCCCAGGTCGGTACGCCTATAGGCCTCACAGGGCGGCAGAGCTGCATGGCACCAGGCAGGGTTGCAGGGCCACAGGGTGGCAGAGCTGCATACCTCCCAGGGCAACAGGGCTTCAGGCATCAAAGGGCGGCTGGGCAGCAGGGAGGCGGTCTGCCGGTCTCACAGGGCAGCCGGGGTGCAGGGCAGCAAGGCAGCAGGGCAGCAAGGCCACAGGGCAGCAGGGCGGCAGGGCTGCAGGGCAGCAGGGCGGCAGGGTGGCACGGAAGGTGTGTGGCAAGGTAGCAGGGCTTCAAGCCTCCCAGGGCATCACGACTGCGGGGCAGCAGTTTGGCGGGATGCAGGCAGCATAGCAGCAGTGCTTCAGGTCTCCCAGGGAAGCAGGGTGGCAGGGCCACAGGTCAGCAAGGCGGCAGGATGGCCAGCCTCACAGGGCAGCCAGGGCAGTTCAGCAGGTGGCAGGGATGCAGGTCTCCCAAGGTGGCAGGACTGCAGGTCTGCAGGGCAGTGGGCATCAGGAAGGCACGGAGGCCAGTCGGCCATGTGGCAGCGCTTCAAGCCTTCCAGGGCATCATGACTGTGGGGCAGCAGGTCGGCAGGGATGCCAGGCAGCAGGGCAGCACTGCTTCAGGCCTCCCAGGACTCCAGGGCTTCAGGGCAGCGGTGCTACAGGCCTCGCAGGGCTGCAGGGCTCAGGGTGCAGGGTGGCAGGTCTGCAGGCCTCACAGGGCCTCCTAGGTTCTGGGTAAAGTGTGGCAAAGCTGCAAGCCTCCTAGGACAGCAGGGCTTCAGGCCTCTCAGAGTGTCAGGGCTGCACGGCAAAGGGAGCCAGGGTTGCAGGGCAGCATAGCAGGGCAGCAGGGCTACAGGGCAGCAGGGAGGCAGGGCTGCAGGCCTCCCAGGACAACAAGGCTGCAAGCTTGGCAGGGCGGCAGGGCTTCAGGGCAGCAGGGCAGGAGGGCTCGAGGCCTCCTAATGTGGCAGGTCTGCGGGCCTCCTAGGTCGGCAGGGCTGCAGGGCAGCAGGGAGCCAGGGTTTCAGGGCAGCAGAGCAGGGCAACAGGGTTACAGGGCTGCAGGCCTTGCCGGCATCAGGGCTGCAGGAATGGATGGGCGGCAGTGCAGCAGGGCAGCAGGTCTGCCGGCCTCACTGGGTGGCCGGGGTGCAGGGCAGCAGGGAGGCAGGACTGCAGGTCTCACAGGGCATCTGGGCTGCAGGTATGGCACTGCAGCAGGGCTACAGGGCAACAGGGCTGCAGGCCTTGCAGGGGAGCAGGGCAGCAGGGTGGCAGGGCTACAAGCCTCATTGGACAGTAGGGCTTTAGGGGAAAGGGGTGGCACTGATGCAGGCCTCCCAGTGCAGCAGGAATGCAGGGCAGCAGGGCAGTAGTGCTGCATGCCTCCCAGTGCGGTGGGGCTGCAGGTTTTTAGGCCTCCAAGGGCGGCAGAGCAGCAGGGCAGCAGGGTGGCAGGGCTGCAGGGCGGCAGGGCTGCAGTCCTCGTAGGCCAGCAGGGCTGTAGGGCAAAGGGCTGGAGGGCTGCAGGCCTCCCAGGGCGACGGGGCTGCAGGCCTCGAAGGGCGGCAGGTCAGCAGGGTGGCAGTGCTACAGGACTCCCAGGGAAGCAGTGTGGCAGGGCTGCAGGACAGCACAGCAGCAGGGCTGCCAGCCTCACAGGGCAGCTGGGGTACACGGCAGCAGGGCGGCAGGGCTGCAGGCCTCGCAGGTCGGCCGGGTGGCAGGGCAACAGAGTGGCAGGGCTGCAGTTCTCGTAGGGCAGCAGGGCTGTAGGGCAGCAGGGAGGCAGGGCTGCAGGCCTCTCAAGGCATCAGGACTGTTGGGCAGCAGGTCGGCAGGGATGCAGGCCAGCAGGACAGCAGTGCTTCAGGCGTCCTAGGGCTCCAGGTCTTCAGGGCAGCAGGGTCAGGGTGCAGGGCAGCAGGGCTGCAGGCCTCACAGGGCCGCCTGGCTTCAGGGCAAAGTGGGGCAAAGCTGCAAGCCTCCTAGGGCAGCAGGGCTACAGGCCTCCCAGGGCATCAGGGCTGCAGGGCAGCAGGGAGGCAGGGTTGCAGGGCAGTAGAGCAGGGCAGCAGGGCTACAGGGCAGAAGGGACGCAGGGCTGCAAGCCTCGCAGGGCATCAGGGTTGCAGGTATGGCACTGCGGCAGAGCTACAGGGCAGCAAAGTGGCAGGGCTGCAGACCTCGTAGGGCAGCAGGCCTGTATGGCAACAGGGCAACAATGCTACAGGCTCGCAGGGCCGCAGGGCTATGGTCCTCCAGGGGGGCAGGCCTGCAGGCCTCAGAGGGCAGCAGGACTGCATGGCACCAGGCAGGGTAGCAGGGCAGCAGGGCAGCACGTCTGCAGGGCAGCAGGGCTACAGGCCTCCCAGGGCGGCAGGGTGGCAGGGCTGTTGACCCCCAGGGCGGCGGTGTCCAGGCCTCACAGGACGGTAAGGCTGCAGGGAAGAAGGGCGGCAGGTCTGCCGGGCAGCAGAGGGCAGGGCTGCATGCCTCCCAGTGCTGCGGGGCTACAGGGTTTTAGGCCTCCAAGGGTGGAGGAGCAGTAAGGCAGCAGGGTGGCAGGGCTACAGGCCTCGTAGGGGAGCAGGGCTGTAGGGCAACAGGGCAACAATTTTGCAGGCCTCCCAGAGCAGCAGGGCTACGGCCCTCCAGGGGGGCAGGGCTACAGGCCTCACAGGCCCGCAGGGCTGTAGGGCAGCAGGGCAGCAGGGGTGCAGGGCTGTAGGTATCACAGGGCGGCAGGGCTACAGGCCTCCCAGGGCTAGGGTACCTTCATAGCCTGTCTAGGAGCCACCACCAACTGGTTCCTTTCTTTTGTCATGAATCTCAACCTCTACGGAACAGATATTCCCCCACATATTCTGTGTCACAGTAAATGGATTTTGCTGTATCGGAGCCTCAATGGGCTCTTATCGTTCCCAGATTACGTAGATATACTTCTACCTCTATAAAACTTTGTTCTTACTAATCTGCCTTTGCTCGTGTGTCTTTTTGTCTCAGCAGTAGAGAAAGAATTAACCTTTGTGAGTGTGGTGGGTTGAACCAGAGTTTGTGCCAAATTTTCTGTGTCTCAGTGACTGGAATGTGGAAGTAGCCACAGGTTCTGGCTGCACGCACAGACCCCTGAAATCTGCATTTTGAGTGTAAG